CCCCCACATGGACCCCTGGGACCACCAGAATGCCTGGGATCCCCACAGATCCCTGGGACCACCACACGGAGCCCTGGGACCACCAGGATGCCTGGGACCCCCCACGGACCCCTGGGACCACCGGAACACCTGGGACCCCCACAGAGACACCTGGGACCCCCACAGATCCCTGGGACCCCCACACAGACACCTGGGATCACCGGAATGCCTGGGACCCCCACAGATCCCTGGGACCCCCACACGGACCCCTGGGACCCCCACAGATCCCTGGGACCCCCACATGGACCCCTGGGACCACCAGGACGCCTGGGACCCCCCCACGGACACCTGAGTCCCTCCCATGTCCCCGGAGTCCCCCCCACATACCCAGGGCCCCCCCATGTCCCCAGAGTCCCCCCTCATCCCCAGATTTCCCCTCGTCCCCAGGGCCCCCTGCTCTGTCCACAGAGCCCCCTCATCTCCACAGTCCCCCATGTCCGCAGAGCCCTCCTCATGCCCAGAACCCCCCCTCATGCCCAGGGCCCCCTCATCCCAGAGCCCCCTCATCCCCACAGTCCCCCTTGTCCCCATGGCCCCTGCTGTGTCCCCAGAGCCCCCCATGTCCCCAGAACCCCCCTCATCCCCACAGTCCCCCTCGTCCCCAGGGTCCCCTGCTCTGTCCCCAGAGCCCCCCTCATGCCCAGAGCCCCCCTCGTGCCCAGAGCCCCCCTCGTCCCCACAGTCACCCCTCATCCCCAGGGCCCCTGCTCTATCCCCAGAGCCCCCTATGTCCCCAAAGCCCCCTCATCCCCACAGTCCCCATGTCCCCAGAGCCCCCTCATCCCCAGAGCCTCCCTCGTCCCCAGAACCCCTGCTCTGTCCCCAGGCCCCCCTCATCCTAGAGCCCCCTCATTCGCAGAGCCCCCTCGTCCCCAGAGTTCCCCCTCATCCCCAGAGCCCCCCTCGTGCCCAGGTGCCCCCTGCTCTGTCCCCAGACCCCCCTCATCCCCAGGGCCCCCCTCGTCCCCAGAGCCCCCTGTCCCCAAGGCCCCTGCTCTGTCCCCAGAGCCCCCTCATCCCCAGAGCCCCTCCTCATCCCCAGAGCCCCCTCATCCCCAGAACTCCCCCATGTCCCCAGAGCCCTCCTCATCCCAGAACCCCCTCATCCCCAGAGCCCCCTCATCCCAGGTGAGCCCCCTCACCCATGGCCAGGGCCGGCCCCAGTTTCCAGAGCAGCGCCGGCGCCGAGCAGGGCCCTGCCACGACCACGGCCACCACCCCTGGGGACAGCGAAGTGGGGTGGGGTCAGGGGGAGCAGAGGGGGTCCCAGAGCCCCAGGAGGGGGTGGGTCAGGGGCACTCACCCAGAGGACTCCACCCCTCCAGGCCGGGGGCCCAGCTGAGCCCCCCCCGCCGGCGCCCGCAGCAGCCCCCGCGCCAGCTCCAGGTCAGGCCCGAGGGTCCCGCGCAGGGGACGCCCCCCAAAGAGGGACAGCAGCCCCCAGGGACCCCCGGGGACCCTCCAGGGCCAGAGCCAGCCTGGGGGCAGGGGGGCATGGAGGGTATTTGGGGGCACGGGATGGGGGGTGGGGGATGGAGGGTGGGCATGGGGGGCAGGAGGGGGCACAGGGAATGGGGAGGGGACAGGGTGGGCATGGGGAGGAGGGGGACACAGGAATGGGGGCACAGGAGGGGAGGGGACAGGGGATGGGGGTGGGCTTGGGGAGCAGGAGGGGGACACAGGGAAGGGGCACAGGGAATGGGGGTGGGCATTGGGGGCAGGAGAGGGACACAGGGAATTGGGGGCACAGGGAATGGGGGTGGGCATTGGGGGGCAGGAGGGGACACAGGAGTGGGCGGTACAGGGGGAGAGGGGCACAGGGGGTGGGCATGGAGCAGCAGAAGGGGGACACAGGGAATGGGGTGGGCATTGGGGGGCAGGAGGGGGACACAGGGAGTGGGGGGGCACAGGAAATGGGGGTGGGCATTGGGGGGCAGGAGGGGGACACAGGGAATGAGGGGGGCACAGGAGGGAGAGGGGCACAGGGGGTGGGCATGGAGCAGCAGAAGGGGGACACAGGGAATGGAGGGTGGGCATTGGGGGGCAGGAGAGGAACACAGGGAATGGGGGACACAGGAAAGGCCAAGAGCCCTGGGGACACAGGGTGGGGGGTGGGGTGGGGGTCCCAGGACTCACCTGTGCAGGTGCTGCCCCGCCGGGCCCCCAGCCGCCCCACTCGGCAGCCGCCACCGCCGCCCCCACGGCCGCGCCACGTCAGAGCCGTCCCCCGGCACCGAGACCACCCAGCGGCCTGGGGGAAAAGGGGTGGTGAGCTGACCCTGACCTCTGACCCTGACCTCCTGTCCCTGAGCTCCAACCCCCAATTCCCCCAATTCCCCCCCAGTGCCCCCAAATCCCCCCAGGCCCCCCTGTGCTCCCCAATTCCCCCAGTGACCCCAATTTCCCCCCGTGTCCCCCTCACCTCCTTCAGTGCCCCCCAGTGCCCCTCCCAATTCCTTCCCCAATTCCCCAGTGCCCCCAAATCCCCCCAGGCCCCCCCATGCTCCCCCCACTCCCCCCCAGTGCCCCCTAATTCCCCCCAGTGCCCCCCATTTCCCCCAATTCCCTCCCCCAATCCCCCAGTGCCCCCCAATTCCCCCAAATTCCCCCAGTGTCCCTCCCAATTTCCCCTCAATTCCCCCAGTGCCCCCCCAGTGCCCCCCCACCTCCCCCAGGCCCCCTAATGCCCCCCAGTGACCCCCAATTTCCCCAGTGCACCCCCCAATTCCCCCAATTCCTCCGCAGGCCCCCTCACTCCCCCAGTGCCCCCAGGTGCCCCCCACCTCCCCATTTTCCCCCAAATTCCCCCAGTGCCCCCCACCTCCCCCAAATTCCCCCAAATTCCCCCCAATTTCCCCCTCACCATCAGGGCCCCCGGCTCTCGAGGTTCCTCCGTCCCGGGGTCTCAGCCACGTCCCCCACGAAGTGTCCGAGGCAGCGCCCGTGGGACTCCAGCCAGGCCTGGGGGGTCCAGACATGGCTGGGACCCCTCAAATCGGGAGGAGGAGGGGACACACCAGGACCCGCCCAGACCCCCCACCTCAAAACGACCTTTGGCCTCGGGTGGGACCCTGCACTTTGACCCCCATCCTCCCCCACTGCCCTCCCCCTAGGGGTCACCCCTGACCCCTCCCACCCCCTCAAGGCCCCCAGGACCCCCACCCCAGGACCCCTTCCCAGGGTACCCCCACTCCAAACCCCCCAACCCCAAAGCCCACCCCAACTTCCCCCCTCCGCCTCCCCAGCCCCATTGGTGCCCTCAGGACCCCCAGCTCCACAGACCCCTCCCCACTCCAGACCCCCAGCTCCACAGACCCCTCCCACTCCAGACCCCCCTCAGCCCTCCAGGACCCCCCAGCTCCACAGACCCCTCCCACTCCAGACCCCCAGCCCTCCAGGCCGCCCTCCAGACCCCTCCTCAGCCCCCAGGACCCCCAGCTCCACAGACCCCTCCCCAAACCCCCCTCAGCCCTCCAGGACCCCCCCAGGTCCACAGACCCTCCCCAACCCCCCCAGCCCTCCAGGACCCCCCCAGCCCCCTCCAGGACCCCCAGCTCCACAGACCCCCTCCCAAACCCCCCAGCCCCTCCAGGACCCCCAGCTCCACAGACCCCTCCCCCAAACCCCCCAGCCCTCCAGACCCCCAGCTCCACAGACCCCTCCCCAAACCCCCCAGCCCCTCCAGACCCCCCAGCCTCCAGGACCCCAAGCTCCACAGACCCCCCAGCCCTCCAGGACCCCCAGCTCCACAGACCCTCCCCAAACCCCCCCAGCCCTCCAGGACCCCCAGCTCCACAGACCCCTCCCCAAACCCCCTCAGCCCTCAGGGACCCCCAGCTCCACAGACCCCTCCCCAAACCCCCCCCAGCCCTCCAGACCCCCAGCTCCACAGACCCTCCCCAACCCCCAGCCCTCCAGACCCCCAGCCCTCCAGGACCCCCAGCTCTCCACGCCCCCCGCCATGAGGCCCCCAGGGCCCCCAAGGGCCCCGGACCCCACGCCTCCCCCTCACCTGCCCTGCGTGTTCCTCGCCGGGGCCGGACCCTCGTCCATGGCGGCGAAGATCGCGGGTACCGGGGGGGGTCCCGGCCCTGCCAGCGCCGCCATCGCCGCCGCGGGACCACCGAGACGGGGCCCGAGGGAGCGGAGCGGCCCCCGCCGGCACCACCGAGACGGGGCCCGGAGGAGCGGAGCGGCCCCCGCCGGCACCACCGAGACGGAGCCCGGGGGAGCGGAGCGGCCCCCGCCGGCACCACCGAGACGGAGCCCGGGGAGCGGAGCGGCCCCCGCCGGCACCACCGAGACGGGGCCCTCCGGCGGGGACAGAGCGGCCCCCCCACCGCCGGAAGCGGAAGCGGCCAGAGAGGAGGCCGGGACGAAAGAGAAAGGGGTCTGGGGGGGTCTCTGAGGGGTCTGGGGGGTCTCTGAGGGGTACTGAGGGGTCTCGGAGGGGTCTTGAGGGGTCTGAGGGTCTCTGAGGGGTCTTGGGGGTCTCTGAGGGGTCCTGGAGGGTCTCTGAGGGGTCGTGGGGGTCCTGGGGGTCTCTGAGGGGTCCTGGGGATCCTGAGGGGGTCTCTGAGGGGGTCTGGGGTCTCGGAGGTGTCCTGGGGGGTCTCGAGGGGATCCTGGGGGTCTCTGAGGGTCCTGAGGGGGTCCTGAGGGGTCTCTGAGAGGTCCTGGGGGTCCTGGGGATCTCTTAGGGGTCCTGGGGGTACTGGGGGTCTCTGAGGGGTCCTGGAGGAGTCTGGGGGTCTCTGAGTCGTGAGGGGTCTCTGAGGGGTCCTGAGGGAGTCTGAGGGGTCCTGGGGGTCTCTGAGGGGGTCTCTGAGGGGTCCTGGGGGGTCTCTGAGGGGTCCTGGGGGTCTCTGAGGGGTCCTGAGGGGTCTCTGAGGGGTCCTGAGGGGTCTCTGAGGGGTCTCTGAGAGGTCCTGGGGAGGTCTCTGAGGGGTCTCGGGGGGGTCTCTGAGGGGTCTGGGGGGGTCTCTGAGGGGGCCTGGGGGGTCTCTGAGGGTTCCTGGGTGGTCTCAGGTGATCCCAAGGTGGGTACGGGAGTTCTGAGGGTCCCAGGGCAGGGGAGGGTTCTGAGGGTCCCCTCCCCCCCAGCCCATGGAGCCCCCACGGACCCCTCGCTGCTCTCGGCCGAGCTGGAGACCGAGGAGGACGAGGACGAGGAGGATGAAGAGGAGGAGGCCCTGCGGCGGCTCCTACTGCAGGTGGGACCCCAGGAGGGGATTTTGGGGGATGGTCCCAATCCTGACCTCACTCCTGACCCCTCCCCTTCCCCTCACTCCACAGGTGACCCCAGACCATGAGGAGCCCCCGCCCGCCGGCCCCGCCCGCGCTGTCACCCCCAGCCGGGTGAGGGCGTGGGGCAGAGCTCCTGGGGGGTTGGGGGTCTCTGAGGGGCTCAGGGGGCTTTGCTGAGCCCCCATCCCCCCTCCATGCAGGGCTGTGCGTGAAGACCCGGGCGGGGAGGGGCACAAAGTGTTCGGTCAACGTTTGTCACTCGGGAGGTGCCCCTCCCCCCTGGACCCCCGGGCCTCCAGGGGCTCCTCCGGGACCCCCGGCCCCCACGGCTCCTTCCGCATCCCCATGAGCCTGGGGAGCCCACACCGAGCTGGACCGAGGTGAGAGACCCCCAGCAACACCCCATGAGCTCCCCAGGGCCCCCTGAGCCACCCCCAGGGCTCCCAAACCCCTCTGAGTCCCCCAGTCCCCTCTGAGACCCCAACAACACCCCATGAGCACCCCCAGGGCCCCTGAGCCACTCCCAGGGCTCCCAATCCCCACCTGAGCACCCCCAATCCCTCTGAGACCCCCAGCAACACCCCATGAGCACCCCCAGGGCCCCCTGAGCCCCCTGAGACCCCCCAATCCCCATGAGCACCCCCTAGGGCTCCCAAACGCTTCTGAGTCCCCAATCCCTTCTGAGCCCCCAGCAACACCCCATGAGCACCCCCAGGGCCCTCTAGAGCCCCCTGAGACCCCCAATCCCCCATGAGCACCCCCAACACCCCTGAGTTCCCCCAGGGCCTCCCAAGCCCCTCTGAGACCCCCAACAACACCCCATGAGCACCCCCAACACCCCCTGAGCCACCCCAGTCCCCTCCTGAGCTCCCCTGTTCCCCCTGAGTCCCCCAAGGCTCCCGATCCTCCTGAGCCCCCCAATCTCCCTCAGCCACCCCAGGGCCCCCAATCCTCCTGAGCCCCCCAGGGCCCCAATCCCACTCTGAGTCTCCCCAGGGCTCCCAATGCCCCCAAACCCCTCCAGGGCTCCCCCAATCCCTCTGAGCCCCCAATCCTCCTGAGCCCCCCAGGGTTCCCAATCCTCTCGAGCCCCCAGTCCCCCTGAGCCACTCCCAGTCCCCCCTGAGCCCCCCCAGGGCTCCCAATCTCTGACCCCCTCCCAGAGCCCCCCAACCCCCTGAGCCCCCAGGGCTCCCAATCCCTGAGCCCCCCAGAGTTCCAAATCCTCCCTGAGCCCCCCCAGGGCTCCCAACCCCTCCTGAGCCACCCCAATCCCCTGAGCCCCCCGATCCCCCTGAGCCCCCCAGATCCCTCCTGAGCCCCCCAATCCCCCCTGAGCCCCCCAGGGCTCCAAATCTCCTGAGCCCCCAATGCCCCCTGAGCCCCCCAGGGCCCCCAATTTCCACTGAACCCCCCAGGGCTCCCAATCCCCTGAGCCCCCCAATGCCCTTGAGCCCCCAAATCCCCCTGAGCTTCCCCTAGCTCCCAATCCCCCTTGAGCCCCCAATCACCCTCTGACTTCCTCAAATCCCCTGAGCCCCCTGCCCCCAGGAGGCCAGTGGCTGCACCGCCTACGACGTGGTGGTGAACTCGGGGTTCTTCCGGACCCTCCAGGTGAGGGGGGCTGGGGAGCTGGGGGCTCCAGGAGGAGCTGGGGGTCCTGATTTCCACCCCAAACCCCCCAGAGTGACCCCCTGTACCTGGAGTTCTTCCTGACCGTGGCCATGGAGGGGCTGTCGGAGAAGTACGGGGTGGAACTGGAGCTGACTGGTGAGACTGGGGGCACTGGGGTGGACTGGGGTGTTAGGGAGAACTGGAGGGGGCTGTGAGGTCTCCTCCCCTCCCTGACCCCCTGTGTCCCCTTCCCCCCAACCCCAAGGCTGGCGGGTGCTGAAGAACCGCAGGTTCATGGGCTCCATCTCGGCCCAAAACATCCGGGCCCGGCCTCGGCCCCGCATCCAGGAGCTCCAGGGGTGAGTGGAGACCCTCCTGGGACCCCCACCCACCCCAGGTGTTGTCCCCCCACCCCAGGTGTTTCCCCCCTCTTCTTCCTCTGACCTCCCTCCTCCCTCAGGTCGCCCCACTGCTGCCGTCACCCCAGGCAGGACCTGTGGGACCTGGTGAGGCTAGGACCCCCAATACCAGCCCCCCAGGACCCCTTGGCCTGACCTCTGTGCCTCCCAGCCCCTCAGAGCCCCCCAGTTCGTGGTGGTGGCCGAACCTTCGGCCCAGCACCTGAGTGCTGCAGGCGCGGGTGCTGCTGCCCCACGTTGTGAGTTTGGGGGCTCTGGGGGCTGGGGAGCTGAGGGGAGGGAATTGGAGGGGCTGGGAGGGTTGAGGGGTGCTGGAGGAGCACTGGGATTGAGGGGGAATTGGAGGGGCTGGGAGGGCTGGGGGTGCTGGAGGAGCACTGGGACTGGGGGGACACTGGGGCTAAGTGGGATAAGGGGAGGGAAGTGGAGGGGACTGGGAGGGTTGAGGGGTGCTGGAATTGGGGGAGGGCACTGGGGGTCTAAATGGGAGGGAATTGGAGGGGGCTGGGAGGGTTGAGGGGGCTGGAGGAGCACTGGGATTGGGGGCACAATTGGAGGGGGCTGGGAGGGTGGAGGGGCTTAGAGGAGCACTGGGATTGGGGGTGACTGGGGAGCTAAGTGGGGACGTGGGGAGGGGAATTGGAGGGGCTGGGAGGGTTGAGGGGGCTGGAGGAGCACTGGGATTGGGGGAGGGGGCACTGGGGGTTGAGGGAGAGGAATTGGAAGGGGCTGGGAGGGTTGAGGGGTCTTAGAGGAACACTGGCATTGGGGGGGTACTGGGGGTTAAGAGGGAGGGAATTGAGGGGACTGGGAGGGTTGAGGGGTGCTGGAGGAGCACTGGGATTTGAGGGGGGCACTGGGGTTAAGGGAGAGGGAATTGGAGGGACTGGGAGGGTTGAGGGGTCTTAGAGGAGCACTGGGATTGGGGGCACTGGGGGCTAAGTGGGGACGGGGGAGGGAATTGGAGGGGGCTGGGAGGGTGGAGGGGTCCTAGAGGAGCACTGGGATTGGGGAGGGGGCACTGGGGGTTAAGGAGGAGGGAATTGAGGGGGCTGGGAGGGTCAAGGGGTGCTGGAGGAGCACTGGGATTTGAGGGGGGCACTGGGGGCTAAGTGGGGACGAGGTGGGGAGGGAATTGAGGGGGCTGGGAGGGTTGAGGGGTCTTAGAGGAGCACTGGGATTGGGGGCACTGGGGGCTGAGGGGGAGGGAATTGGAGGGACTAGGAGGGTTGAGGGGTCTTAGAGGAGCACTGGGATTTGGGGGGGCACTGGGGGCTGAGGGGAGGGAATTGGAGGGGGCTGGGAGGGTTGGGGGGTGGTGGAGGAGCACTGGGATTGGGGGCACTGGGGGGCTGAGTGGGGAGGGAGGAGTGGAGGGGCTGGGAGGGTTGAGGGGTGCTGGAGGAGCACTGGGATTGGGGGGCACTGGGGGCCAAGTGGGGACGAGGGGGAGGGAATGGAGGACTGGGAGGGTTGAGGGGTGCTGGAGGAGCACTGGGATTTGAGGGGGCCACTGGGGGTTAAGGAGAGGAATGGAGGGGGCTGGGAGGGTTGGGGGTGCTGGAGGAGCACTGGGATTGGGGAGGGGGCACTGGGGGCTAAGGGGACGGGGAGGGAATTGGAGGGGCTGGGAGGGTTGAGGGGTGCTGGAGGAGCACTGGGATTGGGGGGGCACTGGGGGCTAAGTGGGACGGGGAGGGAATTGGAGGGGCTGGGAGGGTTGGGGGTGCTGGAAGAGCACTGGGGGAGTGGTGGGGGGAATTGGAGGGGGCTGGGAGAGTTGAGGGGTCTTAGAGGAGCACTGGGATTGGGGGTCACTGGGGCTAAGTTGGGACGGGGGGAGGGAAGTGGAGGGAGCTGGGGAGGTTAAGAGGGGTTTGGGGGTTGTGGAGGGGCTGGGGAGGTTAAGAGGGGGTCTTGGGGTTGTGGAGGGGCTGGGGAGGTTAAGAGGGGGTTTGGGGGTTGTGGAGGGGCTGGGAGGTTAAGAGGGGGTTTGGGGGTTGTGGAGGGGCTGGGGAGGTTAGAGGGGGTTTGGGGTTGTGGAGGGGCTGGGGAGGTTAAGAGGGGGGTCTTGGGGGTTGTGGAGGGGCTGGGGAGGTTAAGAGGGGGTTTGGGGGTTGTGGAGGGGGCTGGGGAGGTTAAGAGGGGGTTTGGGGGTTGTGGAGGGGCTGGGGAGGTTAAGAGGGGGTTTGGGGGTTGTGGAGGGGGCTGGGGAGGTTAAGAGGGTTTGGGGTTGTGGAGGTTAAGATGGGGGTCTTGGGGTTGGGGAGGTTCCTGGGGGCTGGGACTGGGGAGAATTCCGAGGTCCCGGAGGTTCCCCCGTAACAGAGGGTCGGCTTTATGGGACCCCCACCCCGGGGGGTGTGGTGGGTGGGGTGGTCAATGGGTGGGCGTGGCCTCTGACCGCGGTTGGCCCCGCCCAGGAAGGGGCGTGGTCTCTGCGGCTCGGGCTGAGCGAGGAGCGCCTGGTGCTGTGGGGGCCGCCAGAGGGCGCCGCGCTGCTGGAGCTGGGGCTGCCCCGCCCCGCCGAGCCCGCGCGGGGGCGCGCGCGCTTCCACCGCCGCTCCAAGGTAACGGCTGCCATGGCAACGGCCGCTGGCCACGCCCCCTTCCCCACCCCGGGACACGCCCCCCTCCCCCGCCCTCCCGACTCCTTACCGCCCCCTGCAGGTGCTCACGGTGACGGTGCCGCTCCGGGCCTGAGGGACCGGGACCCCCTCGGGACCCCCCAGGACACCCCCTTGGGACCCCCCTGGACACCCTTTTGGGACACCCAGAGGTCCCCCTGGATGGGCACTCTGGGAGCCCCTCAAGATTTCCAGGATGCCCCTTCAGGACCCTCCCCCAGACGCCTCCCCCACAACCCTTCGGGACACTCAGACACCCTTTGGGACCCCCCAGGACACCCTTTTGGGACACCCAGAGGTCCCCCTGGATGGGCACTCTGGGAACCCCTCAAGATTTCCTGGAAGCCCCTTCAGGACCCCCTGAACATCCACTCGGGGACCCCCCAGGACACTCCCTTGGGACCCCCCTGGACACCCTTTGGGACACCCAGAGGTCCCCTGGATGGGCACTCGGGAACCTCTCAAGATTTCCTGGAAGCCCTTCAGGATGCCCTGGACATCCACTCTGGGGACACCCCCAACGCCTCCCAGCACCTTGGGACACTCAGACACCTCTGGGACACCCCAGACACCCCCTCGGGACACCCAGAGGTCCTCCTGGATGGGCACTCTGGGAACCCCTCAAGATTTCCAGGACACCCCTTCAGGACCCCCTGAACATCCACTTGGGGACCCCCCCCTTGGGACACCCCGAGGTCCCCCTGGATGGGCACTCTGGGAACCCCTCAAGATTTCCTGGAAGCCCCTTCAGGACCCCCTGGACACCCACTCTGGGACCCCCCCAGACGCCTCCCCCGGGACCCCCCTGGACACCCACTTGGGGACCCCCCCCTTGGGACACCCCGAGGTCCTCCTGGATGGGCACTCGGGAACCTCTCAAGATTTCCTGGAAGCCCTCTTCAGGACCCCCCTGACACTCACTGCAGGGACCCCTGGACACCCTTTGGGGACACCCAGAGGTCTCCTGATGGGCACTCCGGGAACCCCTCAAGATTTCCTGGATGCCCCTTCAGGACTCTCCCCCAGGACCCCTTTGGGACCCCCCTGGACACCCTTTTGGGACACCCAGAGGTCCCCCTGGATGGGCACTCCAGGAGCCCCTCAAGATTTCCAGGACGCCCCTTCAGGACCCCCTGAACATCCACTTGGGGACCCCCCCCTTGGGACACCCCGAGGTCCCTGGATGGGCACTTTGGGAACCCCTCAAGATTTCCTGGAAGCTCCTTCAGGATCCTCCCCCAGGACCCCCTTGGGACCCCCCTGGACACCCCCTTGGGACACCCCGAGGTCCCCCTGGATGGGCACTCCAGGAACCTCTCAAGATTTTGTGGACACCCCTTCAGGACCCCCTGAACATCCACTCGGGGACCCCCCCAAACGCCTCCCCCAGGACCTTTCGACACCCCTGACACCCCCGGACACCCCCTCGGGACACCCCGAGGTCCCCCTGGATGGGCACTCTGGGAGCCCCTCAAGATTTCCAGGATGCCCCTTCAGGACCCTCCCCCAGACGCCTCCCCCAGGACATCCCCTCGGGACCCCCCTGGACACCTCTTTGGGACACCCCGAGGTCCCCCTGGATGGGCACTCCGGGAGCCCCTCAAGATTTCCTGGAAGCCCCTTCAGGACCCCCTGAACACCAACTTGGGACACCCCCTTGGGACACCCTGAGGTCCCCCTGGATGGGCACTCTGGGAACCCCTCAAGATTTCCTGGATGCCCCTTCAGGACCCTCCCCCAGGACCCCTTTGGGACACCCCCTCCGGGATCCCCTCAGGATCTCCTGGGCACCCCCACCCCCTCCCCCACCCCAGGACACCCCTGGGTCTGTGCCAGGACTGCCCCCAGCTCCCCCTTTTTTTGTACAAAAGCTCCCAATAAAGGGTAAATCGGCCCCTGGCGTGCGATTGGCCAAACCCTGGGGCCCCGGGCAGCCCCCTCCTTCCTGCTGTGTGTGGGGGGGGGGCTCAGCCCACGCATGGGGGATTGGGGGACTTAGTGCTGAGCTGGTGGCGGGGGCTGGGGGCTCCCAGAGCTCCCCGGAGGAGGCGAAAAAGGCCCAGGAGCGGCCCGGACATCACGTGGGTTGGGGGATCCCAGGTGTCCCAGGGTGGGTGGGGGCACCCCAAGTGTCCCAGGGGTGGGGGCTGGGGTCACCTGGGGTGTCCATCGGGTCATGGTGCCCTGAGCTGCCATGCAGTTCAACAAGGAGGAATTCCGGCGCCAGGTGGGCGCCGGGCTGGGCCGCCTGCACAGTGAGTCCCCACCCAGGGCAAGGTGGGGGGTGTTCTGAGGGGGCTGGGGCAGGCTTGGGGGCACAAAGCACCTTGGAGGGTGGGGAGGGGATGGTTCTGCTCCTGGCACTGCCCTGGCTGGGAGGGCCAGGAGGTTTGCCCCTTTCCCATTTCCCCGTCCCGGACCCCTGGCCGTGCCCCCCCAGTTATGTAAAGTGTGAACAGGCGACCCAGGCGGGTTTGGGGGTCTGAGAGGGCGTGGCTGGGGACACTCTCGCTGACCTCACCCGGCCCACAGCATCCGCCCACACGCGTGCGCGTGTCAGCGGTACGCGGAAGGCGAGTCCCCATCCACCCCAGCGCCCCAGCACAGGATTTACAGCCCTTAATCTGCTGCCACTCACCATGGGGAGCTGGGGGACACGAGGATCAGGAGGTGGGGAGTGGCGGGGAAGGACACATGAGGACAGCTGGGGTGGGGGGAGGGCCCTGAGAGCACGGGGAGAGGCTGTGAGGCCGGGGGTGGCACAGGGGGTCGCTTAGGCGCTCCAGGCCCTGGGGTGGCATCTCCCGTGTCCTGGGGGACACGGGCATCGTGGAGGTGGCGGGGAAGGACACGGGGACAGCTGGGGTGGGGGGATCCCTAGGGGCACGGGGAGAGGCTGTGAGGCCGGGGGGGTGGCACAGGGGGTCCCTGGGGGCACTCCGGGCCCCTGGGGTGGGTGACACCTCCCGTGTCCTGGGGACGACGGGGGACATCAGGGGGTGGCGGGGGAAGGACACGGGGGACAGCTGGGTGGGGGGAGCCCTGAGGGCACGGGGAGGGGGCTGTGAGGCCGGGGGGGTGGCACAAGGGGGGTCCTTGGGGACACTCCAGGCCCTGGGGTGGGTGACACCCCCCCCCCTATGGCTCCCCCATCGTGTCCCTCCTCGCAGGTTCCTGGAGCGGCGTCAGGATGGCGCTGAGGACCTGGAGCTGAGCTCAGGCGGGGGGCCCGGGGTGGCACCCAGAGCCCCCTGAGGCCCCCGTGGTGGACTGCACGTTCTGCGGGCTGCCCCGGCGCTACGGCATCGCCGTCCTCTGCGGCATCGGCTTCTGCATCAGCTTCGGCATCCGCTGCAACCTGGGCGTGGCCGTGGTCAGCATGGTCAACGGGGCTCCTGGGCAGGTACGGGTCAATGGGGTCGTGGTCAGCATGGTCAACGGGGCCCCCGGGCAGGTACGGGGTCAGGGGCAGGTATGGGGTCAATGGGGTCAATGGGTAGGTATGGGGTCAATGGGGCCGTGGTCAGCATGGTCAACGGGGCCCCCGGCCAGGTATGGGGTCAATGGGGTCAATGGGCAGGGAGGGGGTCAATGGGGTAGGTATGGGGTCAGCAGGGTCATGGGCAGGTGTGGGGTCAATGGGGCCGTGGTCAGCATGAGCCAACGAGGCCCCGCCAGGTATGGGGTCAATGGGGTCAATGGGCAGGGAGGGGGTCAATGGGGCAGGTATGGGGTCAATGGGGTCAGGGGCAGGTATGGGGTCACAGGGGTCGTGGCCAGCATGGTCACCTGGCCCCCGGCCCAGGCGCGGGCCATAGGGGTCAGGGGCAGGTATGGGGTCAATGGGGCCGTGGTCAGCATGGTCAATGGGGCCCCCGGGCAGGTATGGGGTCAATGGGGTCGTGGGCAGGTATGGGGTCAATGGGGCCGTGGTCAGCATGGTCAACGGGGCCCCCGGCCAGGTACGGGGTCAAGGGGGTCAGGGGCAGGGATGGGGTCAATGGGGCCGTGGTCAGCATGGTCAATGGGGCCCCCGGACAGGTATGGGGTCAATGGGGCCATGGTCAGCATGGTCAACGGGGCCCCTGGGCAGGTATGGGGTCAATGGGGCCGTGGTCAGCATGGTCAACGGGGCCCCCGGCCAGGTATGGGGTCAATGGGGTCGTGGGCAGGGATGAGGTCAGTGAAGCCCCCAGGCAGGTATGAGGTCAGCAGGGTCGTGGGCAGGTGTGGGGTCAATGGGGTCCTGGACAGATACAGGGTCAAGGGGATCAGCAGGGCCCCCAGGCAGGGATGGGGTCAATGAGGCCCCCAGGCAGGGATGGGGTCAATGAGATCAGCAGGGCCCCCAGGCAGGGATGGGGTCAATGAAGCCCCCAGGCAGGGATGGGGTCAGTGAAGCCCCCAGGCAGGGATGGGGTCAATGAGGTCCCCCAGGCAGGGATGGGATCAATGAAGCCCCCAGGCAGGGATGGGGTCAGTGAAGCCCCCAGGCAGGTATGAGGTCAGCAGGGTCATGGACAGGTGTGGGGTCAGGGGTCCCACAGACAGCTCTGAGCAGGCACAGGGACCCAGGAGGGGCAGGAGGGCTGGGGGTTTAACAGGGAGGGAGGCGATGCCTGAAGGACTCGGGGGTCCCCTGGGCACAGAGGCAGGTCCAAGGCCCTGCCCAAGTGCTCCTGACCCCCCCCTCCTCCCCTCCACCAGCGCGCCCAGTTCAACTGGGACCCCGAGACGGTGGGGATGATCCACGGCTCCTTCTTCTGGGGCTACATCGTCACCCAGATCCCGGGGGGCTTCATCGCCCAGAAATTCGCCGCCAACAGGTCCGGGGGAGATGGGGCCAGCAGGGGGGTGGAGGGGGTGTCAGGGGGTCCCCCTCACCCCCTGTGTGTCCCCCCCACCCCCAGGGTGTTCGGCCTGGCCATCGTGTCCACGTCGGTGCTGAACATGCTGATCCCCTCGGCCGCCCGCACGCACGTCGGCTGCGTCATCGCCGTCAGGGTCATGCAGGGGCTCGTGGAGGTAACGAGGGGGGGGCGTGGCTGGAGGTGGGTAATTAATTCAGGGGTGGGGCCAATGCTCATTGGCTGGCGGGGTGGGTGGGGCTGATTCTGGTTGGTTAATTACGCGGGTGGGGGACAGCGCTGATTGGTTGAGGGGGTGGAACCGGTGTTGATTGGCTAGTGGAGCGGGGTTGGGGGCACTGCTGCACTGCCATTGGCTGATAGGGCAGGGCGTGGCCACTGCTGTGCTCCCATTGGCTGCTAGAGCAGGGTGTGGCCACTGCTGTACTCCCATTGGCTGATTGGGCAGGGTGTGGCACTACTGTGCTCTCATTGGCTGATAGAGCAAAGTGGTGCCACTACTGTTCTCTCATTGGCTGATAGGGCAGGGCGTGGCCACTACTGCACTGCCATTGGCTGATAGGGCAGGGTGTGGCACTGCTGTGTTCCCATTGGTTGACAGGCCAGGGCGTGGCCACTGCTGTGCTCCCATTGGCTGCTAGAGCAGGGTGTGGCCACTGCTGTGCTCCCATTGGCTGATAGGCCAGGGTGTGGCCACTGCTGTGCTCCCATTGGTTGATAGGGCAGGGCATGCTCACTGCTGTGTTCCCATTGGCTGATAGACCAGGGTGTGGCCACTGCTGTGTTCCCATTGGCTGATAGGCCAGGGCGTGGCCACTGCTGTGCTCCCATTGGCTGACAGGGCAGGGTGTGGCACTACTGTGCTCCCATTGGCTTAAAGAGCAAGGTGGTGCCATTACTGTGCTCCCATTGGCTGGCAGGCCAGGGTGTGGCCACTGCTGTGCTCCCATTGGCCGGTGGGGCTGGGAGGTGTAGGTTTGGTGCTGAGCTCCCATTGGTGGTCCCGCCTGGGGCGTGGCAGGGCGTGGCAGGGTGGGGCCAGTTCCCCTGGGGTGGGGCTGGTTCCTGTAGGGCGGGGCAGGGCGTGGCAGGGCGTGGCCGGTTCCCTGAGGTGGGTGTGGCCCTCCCTGACCCCCTCCCCACGCCCTCCCCCTCCCAGGGCGTGACGTACCCGGCCTGCCACGGCATCTGGAGCAAATGGGCCCCTCCCCTGGAGCGGAGCCGCCTGGCGACCACGGCCTTCTGCGGTATGGGGGGTGGGGGGAGGAAATTTGGGGAGGGGGAGGCACAGGGACCCCCCAAAGCCGGGACAGGACGCTGCAGGGTGGGGGAGGATCACCCTGGGTTTTGGGGGGGGGTCCCTGGGGGATGGAGGGGCTGCAGGGAGGGACCACCCCCCACACACACACCCCCACCCCAGGGGTCCTCACAGGATTGGGGTTCCCTGGGGGGCTCGGGCGTGGGTTTGGGGGGGTCTCTGGGGGGTGCCAGCCCTGATGACCCCCCCCTGGCGCAGGGTCCTATGCAGGGGCGGTGGTGGCCATGCCCCTGGCCGGGGTGCTGGTGCAGTACACGGGCTGGAGCTCCGTCTTTTACGTCTACGGTGAGACCCCCACCCCTGGGACCCCCTCCCCAAACCCCCATCCCCACCCCATGCCCTCCTTCCCCAGGGTGATTTTGGGGTGTGCTGGTCATGTTTTGGGTGCTGGTGTCCTACCCTGAGCACCCCAACCCCAGCACCCTGCCCTGACCCCACCCACCCTCCCCCTGTGCTCCCCAGGCAGTTTTGGGGTGTGCTGGTGCCCGTTTAGGTGCTGGTGTCCTACCCTGTGAGCACCCCAGCTAGCACCCCTGCCCTGACCCTCCCCACCCTCCCCAGGCAGTTTGGGGTGTGCTGGTCCATGTTTTGGGTGCTGGTGTCCTGCCTGTGAGCACCCCAGCCCCAGCACCCCCTCCCTGTGCTCCCCCAGGCAGTTCTGGGGTGTGCTGGTTCATGTTTTTGCATGCTGATGTCTACCAGCACTCAGCCCCAGCACCCTGACCCCCCTGTGCTCCCCCAGGCAGTTTTGGGGTGTGCTGGTCCATGTTTGGGTGCTGGTGTTGTGCCTACTGCCCTCGTGCTGTCCTCGGCCCCAACACCCCCCTCCCACGCCCTCCCCTGCTCCCCAGGCAGTTTTGGGGTGTGCTGGTGCCACGCTTTGGGTGCTGGTGTCCTGCCCTGTGAGCACCCCAACCCCAGCACCCCTGCCCTGACCCTCCCCGCCCTCCCCAGGCAGTTTTGGGGTGTGCTGGTCCATGTTTTGGGTGCTGGTGTCCTACCCTGTAGAGCACCCCCAGCCCCAGCACCCTCCCTACCTTCCCCACCCTCCCCCAGGCAGTTTTGGGGTGTGCTGGTCTCATGTTTTGGGTGCTGATGTCCTACCAGCACCCCTGTGAGAGCACCCCACCCCAGCACCTGCCCTGACCCCTCCCACCCACCCTGTGCTCCCCCAGGCAGTTTTGGGGTGTGCTGGTTCATGTTTTGGGTGCTGGTGTCCTACCCTGTGAGCACTCAACCCCAGCACCCCCCTCTCCCTGTTCCCCCAGGCAGTTTTGGGGTGTGCTAGTCCATGTTTTGGGGTGCTGGTGTCCTACCCTGTGAGTCACCCCCAACCCCAGCACCCTCCCCACCTCTCCCCAGGCAGTTTTGGGGTGTGCTGGTACATGTTTTGGTGTGGTGTCCTGCCACCCTGTGAGCACCCCCAGCCCCAGCACCCCCTCCCTACCCTCCCTGTGCTCCCCCAGGGTGATTTTGGGGTGTGCTGGTTCATGTTTTGGGTGCTGGTGTGTCCTGCCCTGTGAGCACCCTGTGAGCACCCCCAACCCCACCCACCCTGTGCTCCCCAGGCAGTTTTGGGGTGTGCTGGTTCATGTTTTGGGTGCTGGTGTCCTACCCTGTGAGCACTCCCAACCCCAGCACCCCTCCCCACTCCACCCTGTGCTCCCCAGGCAGCTTTGGGGTGTGCTGGTGCATGTTTTGGGTGCTGGTGTCCTACCCTGTGAGCACCCCCAGCCCCAGCACCCCCTCCCTGACCCCCCTGTGCTCCCCAGGCAGTTTTGGGGTGTGCTGGTCCATGTTTGGGTGCTGGTGTCCTACCCTGTGAGCATCCCCAACCCCAGCACCCCCTCCCAACTCCACCCCGTGCTCCCCAGAGGTAATTTTGGGGTGTGCTGGTCCATGTTTTGGGTGCTGGTGTCCTACCCTGTAGAGCACCCCCAGCCCTAGCACCCTGACCCTTCCCCCAACCCCCTGTGCTCCCCCAGGCAGTTTTGGGGTGTGCTGGTCCATGTTTTGGGTGCTGGTGTCCTACCCTGTGAGCACCCCCAGCCCCAGCACCCTTCCCAACCCCCTGTGCTCCCCAGGCCAGTTTTGGGGTGTGCTGGTTCATGTTTTGGGTGCTGGTGTCCTACCCTGCGAGCACCCCAACCCCAGCACCCCTCCCCACCCTCCCCCAGGCAGTTTTGGGGTGTGCTGGTACATGTTTGGGGTGCTGGTGTCCTACTCCTGGAGCACCTCCAACCCCAGCACTCCTCCCCACCCTCCCTGTGCTCCCCAGGCAGTTTTGGGGTGTGCTGGTTCATGTTTTGGGTGCTGGTGTCCTGCCCTGTGAGCTACTCCCAACCCCAGCACCCCCTCCCTGCTCCCCAGGCAGTTTTGGGGTGTGCTGGTACATGTTTTGGGTGCTGGTGTCCTCACGAGAGCCCCGCCCAGCACCCCACCATCACCCCCTGAGGAGCGCAAGTACATCGAGGAGAGCATCGGGGAGAGCGTGGGCACCAATCCCCTGCTGGTGGGCACTGGGGGCACTGGGAGGGCACTGGGAGGGCACTGGGGGCACTGGGGGTCAGGGGCACCAATCCTGCTGGTGGGCACTGGGAGGGCACTGGGGGGGCACTGGGAGGCACTGGGGCACCAATCCCTGCTGGTGGGCACTAGGAGGCACTGGGGGGCACTGGGGGCACTTGGGGGACACTGGGGGCACTGGGAGGCACATGGGGGGTCAGGGGCACCAACCCCTGCTGGTGGGCACTGGGAGAGCACTGGGAGGGCACTGGGGGGCATTTGGGGGCACTGGGGGCACCAACCCAGCGCTGGTGGGCACTGGGGGGGCACTGGGGGCACTGGGGGGTCAGGGGCACCCAATCCCTGCTGTGGTGGGCACTGGGGGCACTGGGAGGGCACTGGGGGCACTGGGGGTCAGGGGGCACCAACCCGCTGCTGGTGGGCACTGGGGGGCACTGGGGGGTCAGGGGGCACTGGGGGGCACTGGGGGCACTGGGGGGCATTTGGGGGCACCAACCCGCTGCTGGTGGGCACTGGGGGGCACTGGGGGCACTGAGGGGTCAGGGGCAGCAACCCGCTGCTAGTGGGCACTGGGGGCACTGGGGGCACTGGGGGTCAGGGAGCACCAACCCAGTGTTGGTGGGCGTGTAGGGGTAATTGTGGGGGCAGGAGGTCACGGTGGGGATGGTTGGGGGTCTGGGGCCTGTTGGGGTCACTGTGGGGTCAGGAGGGTGGGGGCAGGGCCTGTTGGGGTTCAGGAGGTTGGGGGTTTGGGGTCCTGTTGGGGTCAGGAGGTTGGGGGTTTGGGGTCCTGTTGGGGTCAGGAGGGTGGGGGGTCCGGGGCCTTTTGGGGTCAGGAGGTTGGGGGTCTGGGGTTGTTGTGGGGTCAGGAGGTTGGGGGCTCAGGGTCCTGTTGGGATCGTTGTGGGGTCAGGAGGTTTTGGGGTCCGGGTCCTGTTGGGGTCAGGAGGTTGGGGGCTCCGGGGCTTGCTGGGGTCAGGAGGTTGGGGGGTCTGGGTCTTGTTGGGGTCAGGAGGTTGGGGGGTCTGGGGTCGTTGTGGGGTCAGGAGGTTTTGGGGGTCCAGGGTCCTGTTGGGGTCATTGTGGGGTCAGGAGGTTGGGGGTCTGGATCCTGTTGGGGTCAGGAGGTTTTGGGGTCCAGGGCCTGTTGGGGTCAGGAGATTGGGGGTTCCAGGGCCTGTGTGGGGTCAGGAGGTTGGGGGTCTGGGTCCTGTTGGGGTCGTTGCTGGGGTCAGGAGATGGGGGTCTGGAGCCTGTTGGGGTCAGGAGGTTGGGGGGTGGGGGTCCTGTTGGGGTCGTCGTGGGGTCAGGAGGTTTTGGGGTCTGGGACCTGTTGGGGTCAGGAGGTTTTGGGGTCCGGGGTCCTGTTGGGGTCAGGAGGTTTTGGGGTCTAGGGTCCTGTTGGGGTCAGGAGGTTGGGGGGTTCCTGTCGAGGGCAGCTCTGGGGTCAGAAGGTCACAGTGCCTCCCACCCCCTCCTTTGCCCAGATGGCCACCCCTGGCGCCAGTTCTTCACCTCCATGCCCGTCTACGCCATCATCGTGGCCAACTTCTGCCGCAGCTGGACCTTCTACCTGCTGCTCATCAGCCAGCCCGCCTACTTCGAGGAGGTCTTTGGCTTCGAGATCAGCAGGTTGGACCCCAAAACCCCCAAAACCCCCTAAAACCCTCCCCAGGGACAGGACCCCACTGACGGCCCCGGGGCAGGTGGGGCTGCTGTCGGCGCTGCCCCACCTGGTGATGACGATCGTGGTGCCCATCGGCGGCCAAATCGCCGACTTCCTGCGCTCCCGGGGGCTCATGTCGACCACCAACGTCAGGAAGATGATGAACTGCGGCGGTGAGGGGGTGGGACAGAATTGGGGGTTTAGGGGTGAGGAAGGGGACAGGTGAGGTGGGGGGTCAGGAGGGGGATATGGGGGCAGGGAGGGCGACCTGGGGGACAGGGAGAGGGATATGGGGGCAGGGAGGGCGACCTGAGGGGACAGGGGGACAGGGAGGGGGATATGGGGGCAGGGAGGGCGACCTGGGGGACAGGAGGGGATGCAGAGGGGACAGGGAGGGGATGAAGGGAGGGGGACACAGGGGGAACAGGGAGAGGGATGTGGGGGCAGGGAGGGCGACCTGGGGGGACAGGGAGGGGGATGCAGGGAGGGGGACACAAGGAGGGAACAGGGAGGGGATATGGGGGCAGGGAGGGTGACCTGAGGGGACAGGGGGGACAGGGAGAGGATATGGGGGGCAGGGAGGGCGACCTGGGGGACAGGGAGGGGGATGCAGGGAGGGGGATGCAGGGGGGACAGGAGGGGATATGGGGGCAGGGAGGGTGACCTGAGAGCCCAGGGGGAACAGGAGGGGGATATGGGGGTAGGGAGGGTGACCTGGGGGGACAGGAGGGGAATGCAGGGGGACAGGGAGGGGATGAAGGAGGGGGACACAGGGGGACAGGAGAGAGGATATGGGGGCAGGGAGGGTGACCTGGGGGCCAGAGGGAACAGGGAGGGGGATATGGGGCAGGGAGGGCGACCTGGGGGGACAGGAGGGAGAGGGTGCAGGGAGGGGACACAGGGGGACAGGGAGGGGGATGCAGGGAGGGGGACACAGGGGGACAGGGAGAGGGATACAGGGGGACAGGGAGGGGATGCAGGGAGGACAGGAGGGGGTGATGGGTGGCACACAAGAAGGACCCAAAGGGACGGGGAGAAGCGATTTGAGGAGGACAAAAAGGGGGACAGTGAGTGGGGGGAAGGCCCGGGTTTGGGTGGGAAGAGGGGACACCCCAGGAGCTCTCCCGGGGTCCCAGGGGCCGAGGGGTGTCTGGGGCGACCCCTCCCCGCCCTCCCCAGGGTTTGGCATGGAGGCCACGCTGCTGCTGGTGGTCGGCTACTCGCACTCCCGCGCCGTCGCCATCTCCTTCCTGGTGCTCGCCGTGGGCTTCAGCGGCTTCGCCATCTCCGGTGGGCGCCGTGGGAGGGGCACAGGGGGCGAGGGGAGGGGAGGAGGGCCACACACGTGGGAGGTGCATCCTGACCCCCAACCCCAACCCCGGACCCCTCAGGGTTCAACGTGAACCACCTGGACAGCCGCCCCCCGCTACGCCCAGCGTCCTCATGGGGGCTCTCCAACGGCGTGGGGACCCTGTCGGGGATGGTGTGCCCCCCTCATCGTGGGGGCCCTCACCCGCCACAAGGTCAGGGGGCACCAGAACCTGGGGTCTGAGGGGATGGTGTGCCCTCATCGTGAGACCCTCACCCACCACAAGGTCAGGGGCACCAGAACCTTGGGGGGTCTGAGGGGGATGGTGTGCCCCCTCATCGTGAAGCCCTCACCCGCCACAAGGTCTGGGGGGTCAGCAAGGGGGGATCAGGGGTACCAGAACTGGGGGTCTGAGGGGATGGTGTGCCCCCTCATCGTGGGAGCCCTCTACCCCCACAAGGTCAGGGGGCACCAGAACCTAGGGGTCTAGGGGGATGGTGTGCCCCTCATCGTGGAGGCCCTCACCTGCCAAGGTCAGGGAGGTCAGCAAGGGAAACCCGGGGTCAGGGGGCACCAAGAACCTGGGGAGTCTGAGGGGGATGGTGTGCCCCCTCATCGTGAGGGCCCTCACCCGCCACAAGGTCAGGGGTCGGGGTGGGGAGTCCAGCGAGGGATCCAGGGGTCAGGGGGGCACCAAGAACTTGGGGAGGCAGCAATGGGAGCTGGAGGGGTTTGAGGGGATGGTGTGGGGTGTGATGGGCACGGGGACCCAGGAGGGAGTCAGTGGGGCCAGGGGACAGTGTGGGGTGTTGATGGGCACTGGGACCCGGGTTTGGGGCATGCAGGGACCAGGAGGGAGTCAGTGGGGCCAAGGGGACAGCGTGGGGTTTGATGAGCACTGGGATCCGAGGGTGGGGGCACTGGGACCCCAATTGGAGGCAGGGGAACACGGTGGGGAACTTTGGGGGCTCGCACTAGGACCCTGTAACTCACCGCCACCCTGGCCCCGCCCCCTCGTTCCGTTAACCCCGCCCCTCACTCCTTAACCACGCCCCTTCCTTAGCCCCACCATCTCCCTCCTTTAACCCGCCCCTTCCTTAACCCGCCCTCCATTCCTTAACCCCGCCCACTCCCTCCCTTAACCCCCGGGCGTTGTCCCACCCGCGCCGCGATTGGC